AATGTTCATTATATATAGTCGACTCTTAAATATTGGAGAGTCGAATCTTTGTAGTTAGATTCGACTCTTTATTTAAAGGTATATATCTATAATGGCCTTGACCAACTATTAGTCAAAGTGGTAACATCAGCAACAAGGGATATGTTGCTGATGTTTGGTTGGTGAAAAGATAAAAATAACAACAACATAGTATATGTTGCTAATACTTTAGGTGTGGTTGGAAAAGTTTCAGCAAGATAACTCTTGTTGCTAAAAGTCACTTTCAGCAACAAGGAATATCTTACTGAAAGTGGAGCTTAATTAGATGGGGAAATGATTGCCGGAAAATATCAACAATATGGGGTATGTTGCTGAAATTCACTTTCAGCAACATACTCATTGTTGCTGAAAGTATAACAACTTTTTAGGGGAAGAATGTACTATGCAACTTTTAGCAACATGAGTCTTGTTGCTGATACAAATTTTTAGCAACAAAGGATCCCATGTTGCTGATATATTGTTGTTGAAGGCTTGAATTTTAGCAGTGAATATTAATTCATCTTCAAATTCGCCCTCATAACTCATCATATTTAACACAATGAACGACTTAAAAGCAAACAAAAAACATGTAATCCCCTCTAGTCCTACACTTTGGTTAGAATTGGTGCGGGAAAAAATTAAACAAATTCTTTTAATAGTAGATGTTTAGGCATTTAATGGTGAAAAGAAAGGGTTGAAGCAACACCATCCAAATAAGGACTACATTGAACAAAAAATAAGGAATAGAAGGATGATGTTGACTACCATTTGAGATATAGAAGAATGACATTGGAAAAATTCCTAATAGAAGGATGAACATGAACAAAAATTGAAAGCAGAGGGATGGCAATTGGCTTTAACCCAAATTGTAACCATCAAACTTCTCCTCATCCCTAACTTCACCCAAATACCTGATCACCCTCAATATCTAAGCATTTCATCCTTTGGGAATCCTCTACATTTTCAAGTCCTTCTACATGGATCTAGAACACAAGTCGAAATGCATTCAATACTTCTCTATTTGAGTTCAAAGTAAGTATCCATTTGTAGCTAGTCAATTTCTTTTTTCTCTATGCCACGAGTGAGGTCCAATGGTATCAGATCATGGATAGAAAAGAGTATCTCAAAGGCTTGAATGAGATATGAAACAATGTAAGAAAGCAAGTGAAACTAGAAAGCAAACCCTAACCCTAACCCTAATTCTAAAAGTAGACAGATTGCTAGGCATTTCATTCAAACTTCCCATATACAAATCAACCAATTGGCCACAAATGGATACTTCCTTTGAACCCAAATAGAGAAGTATTGAAGGCATTTTAGCTTGTCCATATAAAAGGTCTTAAACCTAGAAGATGCACAAATATGTGAAGAACAAGAGAATTCACTCACCCTTGTAAAAGGGGTTGCTAAAGCTTGAAAAGAATATAAAAATCAAGGTATTTCCTACTTTCTTTTATGCACCATTTTTGTTAGGAAAACTATTAATCTTGGTTTATTGTGTTGGATTTTGTGATAAATTTTGAGATTTTTTTATTTGGTAGCCTTTTAAGCTGAGAAGGATACTATAATGTAACTTAGTATACTGACAAATAGATCATGGCTTTGATAATTATTATATTTGATATTTTATATTGTCTTCTCCTTTTTATATTGCTAGACTGCTCTGTAAATAATTTTTTTTTTCTTTTTTATATCAAGATATGTATTTACTTGCTTTTGTAGAGTAAAATCATAAAATCATTCTTTTCTTGACTGTAGCCGCAAACATGGCTAGACCTAACTTGACAAATCTTAATCTTTCTATGCTTAACATTTTGGATGTCAAAAGTTTGGATCTCTACAAGCTACTATAAGTATTTGGTTTTTATTTTATTTTATTTTGAATGCCCTTTAACCATTTTGGAATTTCTATGTATTGTTAAAAATTTTTGTTTTTGCCATCAAATTGTATTTTTAGGTGTCCTTGGCCATTTTGGACATGGGGAAGTTTACATTTTGTCAACGCGATTTTGGGTCTTAATGTGATGTTTCTATTACATAAAAAAATTTGCAATGTTGGGAGTAGACATCCCTGTTTTTTTCATAGTATTGATGTTTGTTGCATTATTTTCAAAAACAATGAGCACTTGAATTTTCTTTCAAGTGTGGTTTAACACTAATTGGTGACATTAAGATAATAACAAGGCCATTCCTTTCTTTTTATTATATATGCCATCAAATGGTCTGACTTTCTAATTTATTATATATGCCATCAAATAGTCTGACTTTCTAAGTTGAGTATTTTGAATGAAAAATAACCTAAAATGTGTGTTACTGTGTTTTTAATGACTAGTCAATTTGTTTTACCTTGTAGAGATTTTTTTACAATGTTGATTCTATTTGTCGTCATTAAAGACTCTCACTAACTACAGTTTGTGATTGTTTGTCTACTCCCAAAGATAATTGCACTTATTAAATTAAGAGGTTCCTAATTTGTGTGTGTGTTTTCTTAAAATATTTCTGCAGACTTTGTTTTAAGTGAATTAGAGACAAAAATTTGTTCTAACTTGAGTTATTGTAATGCGAAGATCTATTGTTGTAAGAGTGAAATCTGCCCTCTAAGCTTTTTTAAACAAAATTTTTGCAATTAAAAGCCCAAACTTTAAAAACTCAAGTTTCAACTGAAATATAATAAGAAAGGTTTAAGTTGCTTAAATACCAATTGAAAAACATAAGCCCAATTGGGTTTATTCTTACTTTTCTTTGTTAAACATGGGCCTTAATTACTCAACCAAATCTTTAATTAATTTAAAATTTGAGACTAATTATCTTTAGATAATTATAAAATTAATTAAAACCACTTAAATCTCTCCAAAATGTTCAATTAAAATCCAAAGTTTAAAAGCACATGCCATAGCCCAAATAATAAAAAAGGTTTATTTTAAGAACCTTCAACAAAAATTGAGAAACATAAACCTAGCTAAGGTTGTTCTTTTGCTTCCAATCACAACCACTCAATTAGATCCTTAGATGGTTTTAAAATAGAGACATTTATATTTACATAATTATAAAATTAAGACCAGTTAAATCCCTCTAAAATGCACAATTAATTAAAGTGGTCATAGCCCATATAATAAAAAAGGTTAAGCATCTTCAACCCCAATTAAAAAAAATAAGCTTAACCAATTTTATCTTCAACCCCAATTAAAAAAAAAAAGAAGAGAGGCTTAACCAAGTATATTCTTGCTTTTCTTTGTTGAACAACAACCACAATGATTAAACTAGATCTTTAGATAATTTAAAAATTACAATCACTTAAATGTTTAAAAACATAAAATAAACCATAAATTCAATCATTCCTCCAATGATTAGAACCTTTAAAATTTTTCACAGTCTAATAACTCTAATCCCAAACAAAGCCTCTTCACAAATTAAATAAAAGATTTCATAGCAAAGCAGACCTTTCACCAGTTTTAGTTTCGAGCCCAAAATTGAAAATTCAATCCAAAATTAATTTGTTGAAGCCCATTAATCAAAACACATATTAAGCCCTAATTATCATCTTAGTATGATGTTTTTTTATATCAATTTTGTATGGATAAATTAGGACACTTATTTAGATTAAAAGGAGTATTACCTAAGAGGCTAAGAACTCTTTTTTTTCTTTTCTTTTTTTTTTCTTTTTTTTTTCTTTTTTATTTTTTTTTATGAAAGTCAACTTCAAACAAGCTATATATTGCCCAAAATTCTACGGAGAGATTTAAGCTCATCCCCCAAACTCAACTCATATTTTCCGTTTTTCGCTTTCAAATTTCTAATTTAGAAAATATATAATAAAAAGGATAAAACAACTAAATTACTTTTTTGGTTTTTTTTTTTTACATTTTACCAACCTTTTTATATCTGGCTATATCCCTACAAATAACAGAAACTAGATTAATTTACTTTTAAAGTTAATCCTCTCTTCTTCTCCCAGAAGAATCATTTCCTCTAACATAAAAAAGGGGAAATTAGAGAAAAACAAAGAAAATAGGGTAGAATCCTTCTCTCTCTTTTTCTGCTATTGACAACCCATATGGCAGAAGCTACAAGAGAGATGGTAGGGTTCAAGGAAGTTAATTGGACCGTCAATGGTGAATGTAAACTCGAGAAGAAGGATTTTGACTCTGCCTCGAACTTACCAAATCTAGGGCAATCAATGTCAAACAACAATAAGGTGAGCATTCGGAATTCTCTTTATTCTGGATTGCCTCTTCCACCATCTTTGCCAAAACCAGCCCTAACTGATATAGTATTGGGGACCTCAACCCACCATGTTAATTACAAAGCTGTTGATTATTCCAATTATGGTAAACACACTTCTTATCAATCTTCATATTTGTGGAGTGATGGTAAGGCAAAACTAAAGAGGAAACGACGTGTGGTGAAGTACAAGTCGTACACTGTCGAGAGCCAAATGAAGACATCATTGAGAAGTGGATTTCGATGGATCAAGAACAAGTATTGTGAGCTCGTGCATGGGTACTACTAACGCTAGCTAAGGTGGTGGAGATGAAAATATTATTGTGTGCTTCGTTTTCTTCTTCCTTGTATGGGTGGAATGGATAGGTTTTCCCATTCTTTTGAGATGATTTCAATGCCACTTGTTTTGTTCACTAATGTTTTGATTTCCCTTTTTGTGGATGGAAAAGGTTTACCATTTTTAAATATGAAGAAGAATGTGCAGGTTATGGATTTTAATTTTTTTTAGTTGTCACTCATTTGCAGTCCCATGTACTATGAATTAAACAATATTTCATTTGTAGTTGTATCTTTCTTTTTAGTTTAAGAAATTTGGTTCATTGACTTTAAAAAACATTTGAATTGAGTTAATAACCTTTTTAAACATAACAATTAAGTCACTAGTACCTCCTTTCCATTAATAAAAAAATCGAACAATAATAATCAAATTATTAAACTTATTTCAAACATTGCACCAAAAAAACCTTTATTCAAACAAAAGAATCTCCATGGTCACGTTGAATCCAATGGATAATTGTATCTTGCCTTGGTATATTTAAAGGGAAATGAGTTTATGGTGATCCTATCATTTTTTATTCTATTTAGTGACTCAATTGTTACATTTTAAAGGAATTGATCAAATCTAGCAAACAAAAAAAGAAAGTCATGAAAAAATGTTATAAATTGCAAATGTTAGCACTCTCTTTTTCTTCTGTTACCCAAAACACAATTTCATTCATCAAGGTCCACGATTCTGATGGAATGGGTTTTATCAAAACATATAAGGACTGGAATGCGCTTCTCCTTCCCAAAATTTCTCAGCAGAGTAGCTTGGGCTAGTAGTCTTGAGCCCAAGGCCCATGATTCCAATGGAATGGGTTTCATCATACCACCAACACCATTTGGGCCTATCGGGGCCATCTCTTTGTTGACCAGATGCACATTTACCGCGGTACCCCTATCAAACTTTGAAAATCCAAGAGGCAGTTACTAGGCACGTGGAGCAATCCCATCGAGTAGTACGAAAACCAAATCAAACCTTGCTGTGACTTTATCAATCCACCGAGTGACCGCTGCGTTTGGAATTTGAAATCTCGTCCCTCTCCAAAGAGACGTTAGAGCATTTTTACTCTTTTCTATGTAATAAAAAATGAAAAACGTATTTAAAATTTTTTTCGAAATTATTTGAATTAAAATTTTTTATTTTACAATTTAAAATATATTACGACTACAAATAACAATAACCACTAAATAAAGTATGATTTCTAGTATTGCAATCAAAATTTATAATATTAAATATATTAATTTATTTAATAATATATAAAAATTATATAAAAATTTACCTCTATATTAAAACTATTTAATTATTTACGTTATACTGTCCAGTTTGAATTATAAATTATTTTTATATGATTTAATTGAATATATTGTTTTTTAATTTTTAATTTCTAAATAAAGACCCATTGCCATTTGTACTTCATCTCTTGGATTCACTCCTCCGACACCGTCTCCATTTATTGCTTTGAACAAGACAACACAGGGGTGGCAGATCCTTCTCTCTCTTACGTACTGATTGCAGTAGGAGGAGCCTCTCTACTTCTGTTCCTTTGTGACTGCAGAAATCTCGATTCTTTGTAAGTTTTGTAGGTGTTTGATCCTTGCCCTGAAAAAATTTCAGCCCCCAGAAGGAGAGAGGGGTAAAGTTCCTGCAGGCATTGGTTTCATGTAAGTATTTTTTTTGCTAGATTTCTGTGAGAATTTCGGGTTTTTGTTTTTGGATTAAAGGGTTTAATGAAAGTGTTTTTGGGTTTTGTTTGGGACTTGATTAGCAAATGAAGTTTCTAACTTTCTATATTTGTTGATCTCTGTGTTGTTTTTGCCGGGTTAAGCTTTGTGGATTATGTTTGGTTGCTGAGAAAAATTAAGAAAGAGAATGTAAATGGAAAATTTGAATTTTTAGATGGGTTCAAGGAAATTGAAAGTGGAAACTAACCAATCCTAATGCATTTACGTCATTTTCCTGGGGTTATATGTCTCCTCGAACAAATTTTCAATCGACCTGAACATAACACTGTTAACATTTTATCTGTTACCAATTGGTATCTTTGTTTATGCATCCATGACATGATTAAAGCACTGTACTTGCTTATGTGCATACTACTTTGAAGTCCATTTTGATGCAGACTATATGTGATGATGGTGGTAGCAAGAGTTTGGGGATTTGATGTTCTTCATTTTGTTTTCATTTTCTGCCTCATTAGCTTGATCAATCAAATGCTATCGAAAGCTGCCACTCTATAACTTCCATTCATTGGAGATAATTTCTTTTCTTTTCTTTTTCTAGCTTAGAGTTGTGATATAGACTGAGAATGACTGGGAGTAAATAAGTATGAGGTGATCTGAAGAGAGGATTTGTTGTACATTACAATAGTATAACCTGGTGGTCCTAAATAGTTTCTCTTACCAATTGGAAAACCAGGTTTAAGAAATAACTAGTCAACCTGCTGGAGTCTTGCATCTAGAAAATCTAGAAAGAAACTGATATTTCCTGTAGAGCCCTATACTTTTTTCGTATGGTTGTATGCATGTGCTCGTCAAAAAAGACAGTGATATTGTTCGGTGGAAGCTTATATAAAATGCTTAAGGTCCTTTTGGAATGATTTGGATTCGTTGGACTTTGATCTGATTGTAGAAGATGATTTATAATTTGATTGTGTAAGAAATTTTATTCACTTGGGAACTAAAGCCTTGTGTTTTTTTTTTTTTTTCTGGGTGTGTATTTGTGTTTCTAACTTTGCAAACAGATTGTTGGTTGTGGAATGGGGTTAGGGTTTTTTGTTATCCCCCTTTGGTTTTGCTTATAAATTTTAAGAAGCTTCTAAGTTCTGCCCAACAAGATGGTGATTGAGAAAGAGGGTTCCAGAGGTGGAGGCTATGTGGGTGGGTTTCTTCAGCTGTTTGACTGGACTGCAAAATCTCGGAAGAAGTTATTCTCAAGCAAATCAGATTTTCCAGGTATAATTGTGTTATGTGTGGTGTAACTGTGTTACGTGTTCATTAGTGTGTACAGGTGTTATGTGTTCAGTAGTGTGTATAATGACTAGTGTGTCAGCACACATGACATGCATGTAGATGCTAAAATGGTCAAATCAAATTGTTGTCTACATAATTAATTTCTATCATCACCCACTTGCTTATGTGTATTATTCCATCCTTTCAGAGCATTTAAAACAGGGGAAGAAAAGTGATGGAAACTTGCCAATGACACAATTTCATCTGGTGAGACCATGGGATTCATTCATCTTCTGTCTTCTACACTATCTCTATGGTGATTGAATCTAAGGAATCTTTGCATTTACTTGTAATCATTGCAGATAGATGAGGATGAGATTGGAGTAGGGTCAAGCGTCAGAGGAATTAGTGATTATAGTTGTGCTTCATCAGTTACAGATGATGATATATATGGAGTTAGGGCCCCTGGGGTTGTAGCCAGGCTTATGGGATTAGATTCATTGCCAACATCTTCTTCTGAGCTCTATTCCACCCCACTTTTTGATATGGAATCTCTTCGAAGTGCTCAGTACCACAATAAAAACCTTTATTGTAATCATGACCAGCAAATGGTGCACCCTGGGAATCTGTCCCGAAAGGTAGATGGTCCTGTCAAGAACTTTGTAGAGTCTAAGCCTCAGAAGATAGTTAGCAGACCTATTGAGAAGTTCCAGAGTGAAAGCTTGCCTCCTAAATCAGCTAAATCAATTCCAATTACCCATCATAAACTTTTGTCTCCTATCAAGAGTCCTGGCTTTGTTCCAATAAAAAATGCTGCTCACATAATGGAAGCAGCTGCAAGAATTATTGAATCCAGCCCCCAAGTTGCCACTAGGGCCAAAATGCCACTGGTTGGATCATCTTCGGCACCGCTGAAAGTTCGTGATCTCAAAGAAAAAATTGAGGCTGCACAGAAAATGCCTCCAGTTGGATCTGCTTCTGTTTCTCTGAAAGTTAGAGATTTGAAGCAGAAAGCTGAAACTGTTGATAAAACATCCAGGCTTGCTGAAAGTACTCAAAGGCCAGTTGAGTCAAATGCTGCCAAGTATCTTAAGGGACAATCTTTAAATAAAAGCTGGAATGGATCAACAGATCTGACATCACTTGGGGCTTCTGATGCAGAAGAAGGTTCTTCTCGTGTAAAGAATAAGGGGAAGTCAATTTCACTTGCAATCCAAGCTAAGGTCAATGTTCAGAAAAGAGAAGGATTATCTTCTAGTGGCAGTCAAAGTTTATTGTGCCAAAGAGACCAGAGTGAGGTCAAGTCTAGCCAGACCTTCAAGAGCCAACCAAATAGTCAAAAAAAATTGCTTAAGAAATCTTCTACTCCTAGTGATTCTGGTGCACTCAGGCAGAATAATCAGAAGCAAAATTGTCTGACAGATAAAGATAAAATATCTTCAAGGCCTATGGTTTCCAACATGCAGAGTAGAAAAGATATATCTGGCGATTCTTCTTTTGGGCGACAGAAGACCTCAAGGAAAACTGTTCAGAGTTCCAAAACTGGATCAAGGAAGTTGGGCTTAGATGTAACAGACAATGAAAGAGGAGGTCCATATTCTGGTACAAAGAAACTCTCACGGAAGAAACGGTCGATTGATGGGGAATTTCATTCAGAGAAAAATGAAATTATTAATAACATGTTGATTGGTGATAGAAGTGAGAAGTCTGTACAATCTAATGCTGATAGGCATTTTAGCTGGGTTGAAGATAGCAAAAAGAAAGGCATGGATGTTGTCTCCTTCACTTTCACAGCCCCATTGACCCGGCCAATGGAAACGTCTGCTCAGATTGCACAAAGAAGTAACAACAATTGCATGAACAACCAGGGTAAGAGGTTGTTGCTCGACACAGAAAGTACGAAGTTGTCTTCATTGGGATATAATATGATAGGAGGAGAAGCTTTGAGTATGCTTTTGGAACAAAAATTAAGGGAATTAAGTAATGCAGTTGAGTCATCTTCCCATGAATCTCTCCAATCGGGATCTTTATCTTCTTCTACATCAATTTTACACAATCTGGTTGAAAGTCCTTCTGTTAGTTCTGCACCAAGGTTCTATGACAAACTGAATAGTTGCTGTGGTCCAAGCCTTTCCTCCACTGATCTTCAAGAGCTCCAATTGAAACACAAGTTTCAGGTAAAATTAATTAACTTTCCTTCTTTCTAATAAATCCTACTTAAATTATACGCCTGTTTGTCTTTAACGGTTTTGCCTGGGGTTCTGTGTATCAGTTAATTATTAAATTGAATGGCACTAAGGTCTAATTTAAAACATGCAATAAGATAACTAATGCAAATAAGATATGTACAGGGAGTTGATGAAATGGATGAGTGTAGCAGTAGCCAACTTGATGCTTGGCAACCTAGTCCTGTTTCTGTCCTTGAACCTTCCTTTTCAACTGAAAGTTGCAACTCTTCAGATAGCATGGATTGTAGCATTATGGAAGGTAAGACTAGCTTATACTCTTGAATACTGGCAGTCATTTGTGCAGAACATTTGTCTTTAGGTATGCTCATCTCTCTATATTGTGCTTCTAGGAAGCAAGCAATCCTCATCTGTTCAAGCTCAAGGCCTTCGTGGGTTATGTTATTTGAAGAAGTTGCACACACTAGAAGCTGATACAGAGTTATCAGATTCAGCATCTTCTTCATCCATCAGAGCTGTGGATAACAAGACTCCAAATGCTGTTAAGACAGATTCCATGAAATTGATCAAATGGGAACTGGAATATGTGAAGTTGATACTGTGCAATGTGGAGTTGATGTTTAATGACTTTGCATTGGGCAGAGCTCGAGAGATCATAAGCCCTCATCTTTTGGATCAGTTAGAAAATCAAAAAGCAGGTGTTAGAAGTAACAGTGAGGAATCTAGGCTGCAAAGAAAGGTATTATTTGATTGTGTCAGTGAATGTTTAGACTTAAGATGCAGACGATACGTAGGTGGGGGATGCAGAATGTGGGCAAAAGGGGTGGCAATGCTGAGAAGAAACGAGTGGTTAGCTGAGGAAGTTTACAAGGAGATCTCACAGTGGAGAGGCATGGGTGATTGCATGGTGGATGAGCTTGTCAACAAGGACATGAGCAGTCAATATGGAAAGTGGCAGGATTTTGAAGTTGATGCATTTCTACTTGGATCAGAGGTTGAAGATCAGATATTTAATGCTTTGGTTGATGAAGTGGTGGCCGATATCTTGCCATTTTAATGCTTGAGAACATGAGTATTTGTTACTTGCAACCATTACATTCATAATCTTTTCTTCTCTGTTTTATGAGAGTTCTTAGAAGTTTATTGTAAGTGCCAAATCTATTGTGCACTCAATGCAGTGGCTCCCCCATTCCATAATAATAGGGTTGATACAATCAAATGCCTTATTTTTCTTGCATGGAACCGCCATCTGGAACTTGATTGTTTCTATTTGATGAAATTTATTTCATTTACCATTTTTGGGCTTTAGACTTGATGAGGATGGGAGTGGAACCTGCTCGGTTGGCTTTTGTGGTCCTTCTATGCTTTTCACAGAGGTTACGATCAGTCGGAACACTGTTTGGTGAGGTTGGTCATGTTGCATCAATGCTGCACCAAATGTGTTTTCCCCTTTGTAATGGTGACGCCAACAAAATAATTTTTATATACCATTTTGATTTGAACTGTCTCTTAGTTAATTTTTATGCATTTTGAAACTAATTACTTTTAAGTAGTGATATAATGACTAATCCCTTTTAGATGTTATTAAAATTAAATGTCGAAAATAACCTGAGGAAATTACTTTTCTTAGATGCAATTATTATTATTATTATTTATCTTGAATTGTATAATAAAGGTTAAATATCAATTTTGGTCCTTTAACTTTAAGGTTTTATGTAATTTTCATATTTCAAATTATTTATGCATTTTTTTTGTCTCTTAATTGTGAAAATATATTTTTTTAATTTTTTTTGTAAGTTAGTCTATTAAATTTATTTAAATTTACACAATTTTAATTTCTTAACTTTTAATATACACATATTTTTTATCCCTCAACTTTTTAGTTGAAAAGCTAAAAATTTGCTAAAAGTATTTATATTTAGATAAACTTAACATACTAACTAATGGAAGGACTAGAAAAAATATATTTTTTATAATTAAAGGATCAAAGAAATGTATAAAAAATTAAAGAATGAAAATTGTGTAAAACCTTAAAGTTGAAGAGACCAAAATTAACATTTAACTTATAATAAAGCCTAATTTTCTCTTATTTCAAAATTAACCCCACTCATATACTTTAAGTTAGGGTCTCTTATTTTCATTAGAGGAAGATTATCTTTAAATTATTTAAAAATTTTAAATTATTAACTGGTGCAATTACTTTAATAGGTACTTTTGATGCTATATTATTTCCATTTATTCATGATTTGCTCGTTATAGATTTGAGCTAATATTTCCATCGTGTACTATTTCTTCAGGAATGAAAAAATTTTTATTACCGAATGACTATAAAATAAAAAAGATTAAAAGACAAATAATTTTAGTGTCTATCAGCTTTATTTCTTAAATATTAAGAGGAAAATTATTTCAAAACAACATAATTTTAATAAAGTATTATAAAAAATGATAAAAATACTTTAATTCATACTTTAAAAATAAAATATTTTAATTTTTTTCAATGAGAATTTATTAAAACGATATAATTTTGTGATAATTTTGCTCTTAACCTTTAAGACGTAAAGCTGATAAACACTATTTGTTAATTTTAATTTTGGTTATAAAAAATAATTTTAATTAATGGCCTGGCAAAAGTCTCTTTCAGCGGGCGGGCTGGGCTAAGTTTGAGTTGGGCCATAATGTTATCCTAGCCCAAATTACATGCTTTGACTTGGTGTTGGTGACATGCAAAACCAGACCCACAAACAAGCCCATTACTCCAATAGAAAATATGGGCATAAGTAAATTTTTGTGAAACCATTTTTGTTTAAGTTTGAGGTAATTTCTGCATGCAGAAGCACATTTAATTATCTGGCTTTTGGGGAAACAGGCTTATACCACATTATTATATTAGTTTTAAATTTTTGTTTCAATTTTTCATTCTATATATTACTACTAAAAAGGAATTTAAATTCTAGATACTAGTAAGTTGCTCTAAGCACAGTCTAGTTATTAAAAAAAAATGTTTTTCAACCTATTCCAAAAATAATCTAATGTTTAATGATTTGATGCACGTGCTAATGCATTTTGGTCATTTCCAATTCAAAAAGTGTTTTACAGGTAAATTATATATTAAATGTGTAATTTATTTTATGAATTTATTAAAATATTATTAAAAATATTTAAATAAATTTATA